CAACCTTCCTTCCGAGGAGTGGCTGGTGGGTTTGAACCGCCAGCCTTCTGGTTAGCAGTCAAGTGCTTTAGCCACTATGCTACCAGAGCCCTTTGAAGACTAAGATGCACCTAACCCAAGCCATGGTATTTTCAGTTGCTTCATGTGCATGCAAGAGCTGGACAATGAATAAGAAGACTGAAGAAGAGTTGATGCTTTCGAGTTGTGGTGTTTACTGACCGTGGTGTTGGTGAAGAATGCTGAAGGTACGGTGGACTGCTAAAGGAACTAACAAATTTATCCTGGAAGAAGTGCAACCAGAATGCTCCTTGGAAGCGAGAATGCCCAGACTTCGGCTCACCTACTTTGGTCATATTGTCAGAAGGGACCATCCTCTGGAGAAGGATGTCATGCTTGGTAAAGCTTGGAGGGTCAACGAAAGAGGGAAAGGCCCTCAAGAGGGACTGACACAGTGGCTGCATTTGCAGCGATGGGCTCAGTTGTAGTAGGGATCATGAGGCTGGCACAGGACTGGGCAGTGTTTCATTCTGTTGTACATAAGGTTGCTATGTGTCTGAGATGACTTGATGACACATAACCACCACCACCCAGTAACTAAACTCCAAGTAGACAGTCTGCACTACTGTACCCCCCCCCCCCATGATAATTGTGTGTCAACTTGGCTGGACTATGATTCTCACTGGTTTAGCAGTTACCATGTGGTTATCCCCCATGATGAGATATCGGGTATCCCTCCATGATGAGATTTGCTGTGAGCAGTCAGTCAGTCAGTTGAAAGGGAGTTTGCCCAGGGGTATATGGCTTGCTTCCAATATATATATGGATATCCTGGGAAAAATCTCTGGTCTTCTGCTGGATCTTGATCCTGCATCTAGCTCATCATTATCTCGTTTCTGGATTTCAACCAGTGGCCTGCTGCATTGCCTACCAATCTTGGGATTGTTGTTTTTGAACCTGTGAGCCAACAATCTGCCAATCTCAGATTTCTCAACTTCTAAAGCCCATAGCCTGCCATACTGCCTGTGATCCTGGGTTTGTCAGTCCCTGCAGCTAGTGAGAAGCCTCCAGCTTGATGTGTGACCCACGGATCTGGGACTTGCCAGCCTCTACAACTGCGTGAGCCATTTCCTTGAGATAAATTTCTAAGCTTCATTGGTTTTGCTTCTCTAGAGAACCCACCCTAAGATACCCCCTTAAGCCCCTTACGTTTGCTCCCTCCTTTTGGTCTCTGGGCTTCTCTTGCATAGGCCTGGGTTCCATGTGGGGTATATGTAACCTCCCGTGGGGGATCTACATTAGAGGAGTGGGAGGAAGAGAGCCCAGGACACCTCTGGGAATGAGTGGCTGGGAGGGTGAGGCTAGACCTGAGCTGCTGGTCAGTACTCCTGAGCATGGGGCCAAAGCTGGTCCTTGACCACTGAGTCAGTTCTGCAGGATGTCTGTGTCCACCTAGGCTTAAATGTCTGCCTTGGCTATGCTGGAATCACCAGAGCTCCTGAGACTACCAGCACTTAGCCTGAAGTTTTCCCCTACCCCTATCTCTCAATTCAGATGATTCTGCCAGGCAACTGAGGTGAAAGCCACCAGAGGACTATTAGCATTCCAAACTGTGTTATCCTTTTTTAAGGCTCAGTGTCACTTGTCCCTTTGCAAAGAGAAGAACAGGTCAGTGAGTACTGCCTAAGAACTTGGAATGCCCATGGCTGTCAGTGCACAGCAAGCTGATAGGTTTACAGAGCGCTTCAGAAACAGCTGAAGCTGTGACTTAGACTTATCTTGGTAACTGCATCATTTTAATAGTAACTTCAAAAAAAGGAACAACATCCACATAGTTGCAAATGTCTTCACTAAAAGACCTAAAGCAAAGAAGTAAGACCCAGTGAGCTTTCTGCCTTTTGCAGGCTACTGCCTGCCACCACAGCTGTGCCCACTGCCTGGAAATAACAGAGTGGGAAACCAAAAACACGACACTGCTTCACCAGCATAAGAAGTTTATCAACAAGTGCTTCCATCCAACAAGCTGTGCAAAGGGAACCCATGGAGGTATGTTCCAGCCCATGTGGACCCACCAGAGGCACCCACATGCAAGCATATTTAAAACCAGACCAGACAGACCTTGAGTCTGCATGCAAACCAGTGACCAAGGTTGGCACCATTGCTTCCTGAGCACCTCAGTGGGCTCTTGTCAAGTGCAGACTTTAAGAGGCAAATGAGCCAGCTCTCTGAATACCAAAGGGACAGTGCAAGCTAGAATATGCAGAGCTATCCAGGTGACTGTTGAAAATTGGTAATTTGTCTTAAAATGAGTTTTCTGTAAACCTTTTGGGGCCTGGGAAAGATGTATTAACACATTTAAATTGATTTTAGAAAAAATGGAATCTCAGGTCAAACATTTACAAAAGGGCAACTATTCATCCCAAAGCTGACAAGGCACAGACTGAATTACCAGTCTGCTGGCTTCTTTTGCATTTAGCTTAAAAAAAGAAAAAGATTAAATTTCAAAATAATGGTATAGATGACATTGGGGGCCTCCCTGTATCTATCCATCTACACAGCTGACATGGTAACATTGTTTTCTATTAGAATCACTATGACATTTATTAACATGCAAGAGTGGCTAAGTTGGGAAGAACCACAAGAAGGCAAATAGATACAGTGAAGGGAAAGTAAAGTTGTAGAAATGGAATCTCAGCTGGTA